ATCGACTGTCCAATGTGCTTTTGTGAGACACTTATCAAATAACCTTCCTACGGCAAGTGGACTTCCTATGCAGGTTTTGTTTGAGTGGGGAGGAGGCTAACAGGCTAAAGGACCATCTTCTCATTCTCCCATCTCCTACAAGTGTGGTAATTGTGAGCCTCTCTGATCTGCAACATTCCTGGGGCTCCTGACGGAACCTGAGTTTCTCTTTGGTGCTGCTTGCTGTGCAACCCCCTAAGGGATGCCATCTAAGGGGAGCCCACCTGAGAAGTCAGCTTCTCCGACATCATGGAACTAAAATACAACATTCAGTGATCCATCCTGTGTTTTGCTTCTCCCTTTGGCACCACTGGGTACTTATTTATGATCTTTTTTTCCCCCAGGCAAACAAGAGGAAGGTAGGATAGGGCTGAACTTGTGTTGAGGAGCCGGGGAAGGAAGAGAGCAGTATGGCTCCGTCAGCCTCCTGATACGCCTCCATCCCCTGGTAGGTTCACGGACACAGTTCAGGAACGAGAAAGGCTCAGGGCAAACGGACAGGCGGCATCTTTCCTATCCTCCCTCTAAATAGATTAATGATGTTGTATTAAAACTGGATTCAGTTGTGGACACAGAGCCATTACATTCCATTTTTCATTAGATGGCTGTAGTGCTGCTTTGAGGTTAAGTTTGGCAGCCTCCAGAAAGTGATCCTATGACACCTGGGCACACTTTCCTCTCTTCTTCTTCAGTTTCCCGTCCAGTTCTGGTGACTAAGCCCCCTCTTTACCCAGTCTTGGCTTGGGAGACCCAAACAGGCTAACCCCATCTGAATCTCTCAGTGTGAGTGTTCGGTATTTATTTATTACAAGTGAAACAGTCATGCAGAGGAGGTTGGGAATGGATATAACAGGGAATGGTTCCCTGGTCCCCTCATTTTAACTTCCGGAGGGAAATTATATGAGGCAGACATCTTCTGAAATAAATATACATATATCTATCTATAGGCAAAAGATCTAGAAATACTTCTGAAGTAGGAAGAAGGAATGAGGGATGGGGAAGATAAAATAGTCAATAACTTCAAGAAAGGCTCCTCTGCTGTGATCTCGGATCCTCTGCTCACTTCTTTCAGTACAAAGAGTTTGTAAACAAACAAAATCCCAAAGTAATATTTTAAAAGATGACCCCTCTATATTTTCATGTTTACTTCCAGCAAGCAACCATCAAACCAGCAAAGTTCTGCAAAGCTCAGAAACCATCTGAAGTAATGGGAAGCATGATTCCAAACTTGGCTTTAGCTACCCAAGTACCGAGGTTCTTCCTTTAGCCTGACTTTATTTCTCTTGCTGAGCATCTTGCTAATGGCTTCTGAAGGGATTTTGGGGGGCGGGGAGGGGGCGTGTTCAGCTATTTCACAGAAGAAACCTGTGTCCACGTTAACACAATTGTGGGACAGGCCTATAGACTAGTCCCAGGCCTGCCGGCATCAGACAAATTGCTTCGGACAAATCGCACCAAATGCGACTCAGTTTCTTCATCTATAAAATCAACGATGACCCTCCTCTAGCATCCCATACCTCAGAAGGTTGCTATGAGGATCACATAAGACATCATCCTGGACAACGACGTGACAACTCTTAGGCACCACACAACTTTTCCCCGCAAGACCAGCTTTTTACTTCCCCACATCCAGTGCAAAGGCAGAAGAATAAGGAATTCTGGAATTAAAAATCGATGACTTAATGAAAGTTCTTTCTCTCTGCCTAACCTCTGCTGTCAGGTATTGATTGCATGGAGGAATCTCTAGGGATGGAGGAGCTGAGCTTCTTTTCAGCATCAAGTCACATTTTATAGGGGAGAACCGTCTCCCCAGTTTCTCATAGCGAGCTACAGAGACGATGTTCACTAACAATGGAGCTGGGGGGTAGCTGCACAGGAGGGGGGTTGAGGGAAGGGCATTTATAGAGCTCCTACTGCGCTGACAGCCCTGTGAACATGTCATCTCATTGAATCTCACATGAGCCCCTCCAGGTACAGCTGAGGTAACAGAGACGCTGACTAATCTGCCCACATCACACAGCAAGAAACCACACGGATATGCCCACAAGTCAGATGCTGCCAGAGGCTTCTCCCAGAGAGGGCAGGGCTGCTCCTGTCACCTGCCTCCTCCTTGTCCAATCCCTGGTCCTTTCGTCTATTTCTTTGATTAAGTTCTAATTACCATATGTGCTGGAGTAGACGGTTCTCTCCCATTTAAGACGGACTTCCTCTTTTTCCCAACGAGAAGATCCCCAACACCTCCCACTCCTGCCCACCCAAGTTTTGGTCAACCTGACTAAACTTCATGACGAAGACGTGAAATCACATATATTACGATTTGGAAATGGTACTTTTCTTTCCATTCTCCCCTTCCATGAAGCAATTTAACTCAGAGGTTTCCCAGACATCTTCTCCAAGCCTGTCATCACTCCAAGTTGTCTAACAACTTTCCCAAGCACATCATCTCCTTTTTGTCCAAGTTGCCTATGATACAGAACTTTTCAAATCTATATGCCACACCGTCACTGAAAAATCTCTCTGAAGCCATACGAAGTCCTTCATAGGCCATCGAGGCAGTTGCCTTCAAAGAAGAAAATATATACATGATAGCCACGCATGTTACTGTGTGACTTTTTAAAGTGCCTTATAGTCTTCGTGAAACTTCATTTAACAGAGAGTAGTTATCTCCTCAGCAAACCCATTCCTTCTCCTTCCCAAACATAGAGCTAGGGCTACACTTCCTAGCCTCTGTTGTACGTGGCAGTGTCCATGAGACTGAAACGTGGTCAATAAAATGGGAACAGGAGTGATGTATGCCACTCTTAGACCTGGCCCATCAAGAGCTGCCATATGCAATCCTCTGTGATCTCTCTGCTTCCACCAGCTTGATGCTGACAAGGATCATGACCCTGGAAACTGCTGCTAAGTCAAGTGGAGCTGGAAGTGAGAAAGAGGCTGGCTCCCTGATTCACCAGGTTTGGAACAGACGTGCCCATTTTGGGCATTATGCAAATGGAAGTTTGTGACATGGCACATAGTTGGATTTATTTATTATAGCAATCAGCATTATCTTAATGAACAGAGCACTTAAAATTTGGCAATTGTGAAGTCATGACCTCAGGAATAATTACTAAATCTGTATTCTAATTCTGTGCCTTTTTTTTTTTTAAACCCTCTTGTACAGTGCAACCTCTATGAACATTCAGAATAAATACTGATTAAGGGGATGGCAGGCTTATGTGCCCTTCTCCCTTTGTTTGCAAGACTCACTTATAAGTCTCATCCATCCAGGGCTTTTGGTGAACTCTGACTAATGAACTTATCATGATCTTTGCAAATGGGAGACTTTGAAAGGACCCTAACATATAGCAACCCCCAATTTCCCTGAGGAATGATCCTGGGGACAGTTTTCCTTTCGTATTCATGCACACAGTTTTCAAATTAGAAAACACTTTTTTCACAGAGAAAAATTACATATTTTGGTGCTTTTAATAACTTATTAAGGCATCACTTTGGCAGTACTTTTGCCTTGCATGCCTGACCAGGAAGAGACCAAGTCTTGATGCAGTTTTACAGTCTCCAGTGTCTTGTACTCATGAGCATTCAATGAAAGGAAAAGTTGTAAGGCTTTACACCTTTTTGAAGTTGCCCACGAATATTCTTTTCTTTTCTTTTCTTTTTTTTTTCTTAAGAGAACTGATCTCTCCTCCATGAAGGAGTTACCTCCTTGTATTTACTCATGGAGAACATTTGAAAGACTAAATGGCCAACACTTATTATTATTACAAATCAGTAAGTAGCAAGCGACATAATTTAGAGCAGAAAGGGTTTTATGGAGAATAATGCAAAAGAAAAAAAACAAATAAGGACTGCATTACCCATGAAGGCTATCTAGACATTTGCGTTTATCAGCTACTTGACAATATTTCACATTGTGCATAGACTTACCTCTCCCGTGCACGACCATTGATAGTAACTGATATTTAAGAACCTTCTATGAGTAAAGGGCTTTAGCATTAGCACTGATGAGCCTCCTAGCTTCCTGGAAAGCTGGGCATTCCTACCTTTATTTCATGCAGAAGGAAACAGTGACCCAGAGACTATCCATCACTTGCCCTCATTCCCGAATCTCAGGGAGCCTCCGGGTTCCTCATCTACAGAACCACCTCGGGCCACCAGCCTTTCAAGGCTGTCAAGAGAATGCAGGGGGGCCATGCACGTAAAGAGCTTCCACAGTCCATGACTTACATTGGCACCACGACTAGACTAGTCATCGGGGGTCACACACTGCTTGCTCTCCTGAAGTCCTTCCCCACAAAGAGGGAAGGGAGAGGGCTTCTGTGCAGCCTTCCCAGGGACTGAGTCCACACTAACCCCTCTGGTCTGGCCTTCCAGACATCTCATGCAAAGCACTCATTTTGGCAGTGAATTACTACTGACCTAGTGCAGTACTGGGGGTCAGTCAGGCTGATGGGTCTGCTCCAGGGGAAGAAGAGTTGATCAACATGGTACTTGATGATAATAAAAAGCTAACCAATTTTGAGGTATTTTTACCACTGCACTGAAATCCTCTACAGAAAATGTACCCCCTTGTTGCGTCCGCCCATGACAGTGTACCATGGCTCTTGAACTGTTGGGGGGGTCACCGATTTGTGAAACTGTTCATCTTGGACTGTTAAAGTATCACAGATATGCCCTTTCTAATCGAAACATATAAGATCCTCAAAGGTCAACCTGTGTTGTGGAGACTTCTAGGTCCCTCAGAGTGTCTGGCTGAAAAACTAGTTCTTAAACCAAATGCACCCAAACACAATAGGGCTGCCATTTTGAAGTCTTGTGTGGGGCAGATGCATCAGGAATAAGTCTTGGGGAATCTCTTTACTCTCTGGGAATAATCCTCTTCAAGAAGATGGGGGTGAACAACACAGAGAAGAGGAGACATGAATCAGCCAAGTGGCTCTAAGGGATGGATGGTGAGTGTCCACAAGTCAGCGGAGTACTCTGGGGGCTGATCAAGGGTAGATGACAAGTGATTGCAGTTCTGGCTGCTGTACCCAGACTTGATGATTGGAGAGGTGACAAGGGACAGGAGCAGAGACCCAAGTTCTCAACTTGCCTCAGCCCTGACCTTGCCAAGTGATTTAAGTCACCGTTTGCTAGCTCCCTGTCTGTGAAGCAGGGACAATGCTAGCTTTCTCTACAAAGAAGGGAATATCCTCATCAGCTCCATTCTCCAGCTCTGGAAATGAAGCCCAGAGAGGAAAGTATTTTGTGGACATCAAACTACTAACTGTAGAGCTGGGGCTTAAACCCAGGTTCATCTGATTCCCAAGTTCACCCTGTCCAGCATGCTCTGACGTCTCATGTGTGGGGCCCTGCGCTGTTGCCCAGACACCACTGTCTAGTTTCAGTCACTCCCTGAAAACAACGTTTCAGGATGAAAGATCTCTACTGTGGAGACACGCAGACTTGGAGTGAATATCCCATGGGTGAGATTCTCGGCAGGGTGCTCCACACACCCCAATCTCCGTTTTCTTGCCTGCCAGCTAGGACTCATTTCAACCTTCCAAGGGTGGTTGAGATTCAATAAGATCATGTATAAAATGTGCCTAACAGTACTTGACACACTGAAGATCCACGCTCTTTCATTTCCTTCTTCCCTTTTGGGCTCCTCGGCATCAGGTACTGTGGAACGAACCCAGGAGGATAAGATAGACCAAAAAAATCCTCGAGGGTTCCTAACAGGGGAGATGAAACACAAAGAACCACAACACAAGGTAGAAAGGAAGACAAAAAGCATGATTTTGCCATTGTACATGTAAAAACTACATACTTATCCTACCCAAAAGAAACTGTAGGCTAATGAGTAACATACATGCATGGAAACAACTATGTGTTCAGTACTTGCTGAATTAATTCACCGTTGAGTATGATTAGCACTTTGATATTCATGATTTACCACCGTGCTGCACAAGGACAGGTTGACGATGCATACTTTGGCATCTCTGGCCAATCCTCTAAATTGCTACTTTAATTAAGTGTCATTAAGAAATGAACATAGGTTTGGCATAAGATGATATGAGTCTATCTGTAAATTAATTTCAAAGAGAAAATCCACACCTTTAGGAAAAGGAAGCTCTCCTTATAATTAAGTCGTCACACAGAATCAATCTCCCTGGCACCTTGTATCCCACTGTCCGAGCAACAATTCAGGTGTGGACACACACTGAGTGCTGTATAAAATCCCAAATGGCTATTTGCCAGTAAAATCCTAAAATCTCCTACTAATGGCAGCAGAAAATACATTTCCTATCCGGGAAAGTCTGCTGAGGCTAGTCCAACATTCATAGAAAATCTTCTGTATCCTGAGGGAATCAAGTCATAATTAAAGGACTGTGTGTTTAAAATCTATTCAGTATGTGTTCAAAATTATTATTTCTGGGTATTTGGATATCAGTGGATATCACTGGATACAGGACTTTTTCACAGCCTGAGAAACAAGAACAAAAAGAGAAGACTCTGGGTACCACATTTGCAAAGACCCAAATATTAAACCAAATAGATTATTTTTCTGCGGCAGAGACATTTATTAATTCTTCATAGTTAACATATATATATAAAGCACCCAAGCTGACAGGGCTAGCCTGCAATGTGCCCCGAGAAAGACCTCCTGGTACCACAGCTGTTTACATTTCCTCACACAGGTGTGAGAGGGAGTTTACTTCCTGCACTGACCATCCTTCGCTCCACAGCCAATTATTAGAAGAGCTGGAAGCCTGCGGAAAGGACCGATGACCAGCTGATCACTGGGAGCACTGCCCACTGAGAGTGTTACAGGTCTGGAAACCAAGCATGTGAACACACAGAGCGAGTCCCTCAGTCACCGGATCAAAGACACAATGAAAACAGGAGTCCTGGAGGAGAGAAATGCTTGCCTGGACTACGGTGACAAACAGAACCCTACCGCCATGTCATGTCCTGGAAGGCAGCTCCGTTCTAGCCCCTGTGCTCAGCACCTACAGTATATACTCCACCTCATCCTCCCAAACTTAAGCCACAGTTACCTTCATGTCCAACTCACAAATGAAGAAACTGAGGCTTGGAGTTCAGTAAATCATCTATGGCCTCCTGATCTCGAGCTAGTAACTGACAGAATCTAGATTCAGACCAGTCTATTGGCCTCCAAACCTTCCATACTCTTAAGTACTGCACTGTACTAAGGAAGGAGAGGTGGGGGACAGGCGAGGGGAGGGGAAAGTACGCCATTCAGACAGGACAAATTTTGAAAAAAAAGGTAACTATTTAAAAAAAAAAAAAAACTCTAAGGGGTGCCTGGGTAGCTCAGTTGGTTAGGCGCCCGACTCTTGATTTTAGCCCACGTCATGATCTCAGGGTCACGAGATTGAGCCTAATGCACTGGGCATGGAGCCTGCTTAAGATTCTCTCTCTCCCTCCCTCCCTCTGCCCCTCATCCCCCCTCTCGTGCACGTGTGTGCACGCACTCTTTCCCTCTCTCTCTCTCTCTCTCTCAAAAAAAAAAAACCCTATAAAAACAAAAATTATATCTCAATGTTCTAAGCGAAGTCTCCACACATTTGTGAAGTTCAATCGGGTATTTTTTTTAAAGATTTATTTATTTATTTGAGAGCATGCATGAGCACAAGCTGCGGGGCAGAGGGAGAGGGATAGAGGATCCTCAAGCAGATTCCACTCTGAGCAAGGAGCCTCATGCGGGGCTCGATCCCAGGACTGAGATCATGACCCGAGCCCAAATCAAGAGTTGACCACTCAACCAACTGAGCCACCCAGGTGCCCCTCAATTAGGCATCTTTTAAAAGTCATGTCGCAGTCCTTGTTTGATTATGTTAACTTTTATCCAGCTCAGCCTAAGCTATTCCCTCAACTCTGGGTAAATGCGCTCTACCTTTTCAGTCCAAAGGTCAGTACTAATTTTAGAGTTTGAGTCCTAGGAAAAAACAAAAACAAAACAAAAACAAGTGTCTAAGGAATAAACTGGGCGGGGGTGTGGGGCAGCAACAGGTCTAAAAAGCTTACTTCCAACAGAAGGCAAAAATATTAGCCTCTTTCCGTGAGTTTTGGTTGTGTTACTGAAGGATATCAAGCATCCAACTGAGAAGATGGTCTTCTGAAAGGAGGCGTGTTATTTGACAAGAACTTATTTTTGAAAAGTTATAAATATTGATGAGCTATGAATCTTTGAAAATTCACGGTATCAGCCCACAGTTCACACATTTACACACCTGGGTTCAGGATCTGGCATTGACACATACAGGCTGTATGTAGGACCATGGATACTACAGCTGCTGCACACTCCTCTTTCCCAACTGAGCGAGTGGAGGATGCTACTATCTGTCGTGCAGACAGGGATGAGGCTCCAGGAGACAAGAGAGAGCCTCCATCAACCGGAAACAAATATTAATGGCAGTTGGGGTAACTTGCCTGTCCAGCACACCCCTCTCAATACGCTTTCCCCTCCCGACCACAGGTTTGAAGATGTGACTCAGACTCTGGCCAATCACAGTACCCCATTCCCGTCACCACAGCCATTGGTCCAAGGAAAGGCACATGACCCAAAATGAGGCAATCAGAGTGCCTCCCTAGGATTTTTCCAACTGGAACTGGCAGGAAGCCCCTCTTCCCTCCTGGGTCATTAGGCTGGTCCCAGAGAGGATGAAGACCACCTGCAAAGAGACACAGAGGGAGAGAAAAGAGCCCTAAAGCCCCGAGTCTCTGGTTTCAGTCACCTCCTGCACCAGAGGCACCCCCACCATCTCGGGGTCTGCAATGTAAGCCACCAGGTCCCCCTTGCACCCCATCTTTTTGCATCACTTACACTGACTTGGGTTTCTGCACTTGTAACCAAAAGATAATGCAGTAGTTAATAGCTCATATAATCTGAACAGTGACCAAACCCTCAAGATCATTTCTTCCTAAGCAGATTCCTTATTTCAAGAATGAAAAATAAATTTAGTAGAAGAAGCAAGCACTGCCATTATTTATATAGCATTTTCTCAAAAGAAAGGGAGAAAAATCTATTTTCATTTGCAGTCACCTTAGTCATTTTCAAGTGGGCTTCATATTTGGTGTTAAACTTTCTCACATACCCACACCCACTTTCAAGATTTGGTCCATAAAAACTTAGGCAAAAACAAGTGGTTATTTTCTCTGTAGCTATATTAGTTGGCACTAAATAGAAAGGAAAGTGGGGGGAGAAAGCGCTGATGCTATTTTTGGTATGTTCTTAAGAGAAATTCCCCAGGTTACCAGAGTTCTCGCTGCAGCAAGTGGGGGAGGGCATTACAACAACAAAACAAAGTACATTTACCAAGATTTGCAGTCACTACAAGAAATCCTTTCTGCCTTTTCATAGGGTTTTTTCCCTTTTATATTAAAATCTCCTCCACATTATCTTTCTCCCAAGAATTAACTAATAAAAATAGAAAGGCACAGTGGGTTCCAATTCTGGAATTATCCCCTCTGAAGCAAAGAGCAAGGTCTGAGGTCAACCTGAAGCAAGAGCATGAGGTGTTCCTGGGCTGACCTTGAACTGGGGTGTCTACCCCAACCTTTGAAGGAATTCAAGGATGAAACAGGGGACATGTCTGTCCAAATGCAGGAATGGAATTGCAAACAGAGAATTGCTTAGGCTCAGTGTACATCCCCATGCACAAAAAAGAGCCCCAGAAGGAATGCCAACTTCTCTGGACTGGGCTTACATCCAGACCTAGAAACCTAACAGCAGAATAAGGGGAGAATCATTGACTGTGTAAATAGACCTGCCCTGTTTGGGTGAAAGGCAGCATTTCTCAAAAGAGAAATAAAATCCTACTACTCTTTCAGTGCTCTTAGATGAACTGTGAACTTAAAAGATAAGAAATAACCTGAAGATGTAGTTTATTGCATTTGACTCTACTCCATACCTAAGGGTGATTTTTTTTTTTAACCCAACTTTGACTTTCAGATCAGACATGCAATCTACTCATGAGGAATGATGGTTTGGGAAAGAGAAGCTAGGCACATTCATGGGTAGAGAGAGTGGTTTACAAAGAAGATCAAGTATAGGGGACCCAATTTATCTAACATTTTTTATAAATGCCTTTAAGTGGGGATACAAACTAAATCTTCATGTTGGCCCTCAGTGCTATTTCTGAGTACTAAAGATCCAAGCTGAGTGATTTCATAGATTTAAAAGAGAGAGAAAGAGAGGGATAAGAATTTCATGTAGATAAACATTAAATAATGCATTTAAGAAAAAATTTCATCTAGATCTGATCTTGATGAGAAAGCAGGACCAAAAAGGAAAGTAAGTCAAGAAGTTTTAGGGTTTTTTTTTTTTAATTTAATTTTTTTTTTGAGAGAGAGAGAGAGAGAGAGAGAGAGAGAGAGAAAGAGAGGGGTGGAGGGAGGAGCAGGGGGAGAGGGACAAGCAGACTCCTCACTGAGCGTGGAGCCCAATGCAGGGCTGGATCTCAGGACCCTGAGATCATGACCTGAGCTAAAATTAAGAGTCAGATGCTTAACCGACTGAGTCCCACAGGTGTCCCAGGTTGTTTTTTGTTGTTTTTTTTTTTAATGACATCTTTGATTTCATCACACCCATTGTATAGATAAAACATTAAGTTCTAGATGATTAACTATACAAATCACGGGCAGCACAGCCCAGACTCTCTCTCAACTCTTTCCATCAAACTTGACTGAAGATATTAGCCAAAAAACCACCAAGGCAAAAAAAAAAAAAAAAAAGTCAGCAAGAAGGCATGCATCACCATCACTGAAAAAGTTAACGGAAGCCAGAGAGAATTCTCCTACCTTGTACAAACCACAAAATAGGGCACAGCCCAGCCAGTGGATCTCAAGGAAGACAGAACCAAGCCAAAAGAGGTTCAGATGAGAATAACTGAAGTGAATATAGGTACAGAAGTACTTCCGGGTTAGACTTCTGCTTTTTCCTAAGTAATGCTCTATCTCAAAAGACATGATTGATCAAAAAGATTTTAACTTTTTAATTCTTAAAACTTTTTTTTTGCTGTGAAAATATATATACTTAATGCAGAAGTACCAAAACAGGAGTGGAGGTCCTGGTGGGGGTGGTGGTGGTGGTGGAGAAGCTCCCCTCCAAGCCCAAAAGATAAGCACTCTTTAATAAAGTTTGGAGTAAACTTATGAAAAACAGAAATATGGCTCAGTTCAGATATCCATTAAATGCCCTTGGATCATGCACCATGGTGAGTGCAAATGAAGCTAAAACACAGGTCCATCTTCACTGCACTCAGAGCCTAGTGGGGAAAGCACGTAGCTACAGTGCAGTACCTGCCATTGGAGAGGCCTCCACGGGGCGCTCCACACGTACCAGGGAGGGCTGGGGGTAGTGGTTTTCAGGAAAGACTTTGTGGAACAGATGATACAGGACCCAAGTCTCGAAAAGGGGGAAGTGAACCAGACAATGAACGCAGAGGATGGAGAAAGAGAATTCTAGGCCGAGGTCCCGTAGGAGCACAGGCGAAGAGGCATGGCAGCGCCACAGTGTGAGGAGTCTGCAGGAACTTCGGTTTTGCAAGAAAATAAAGCTTGGGGAAGGGCACAAGGCGGGGAGGTGGGAAGGAGTGGAAGAAAATGTAGACTTCGTCAGGTCATTGCAAAGGGCCAGCAGCCCGAGGGGTTGCTGGGAAGAGGGTGGAGCACCGCGGCAAGTTCCCTGGCTGACTGCGGAGGAGTTCTGCGACACGAGGGTCCAGAGAATGACCTCGGGAGCACGCCACAGGACTCTGGGCACCAGGGGTTAAACGGAGCCTGCCATTTTCCAAGGGCTGAGGGCTCCTGGGGCAGCCCCTGCCTCTGTATCTACAGTCTCCCCTACCGTGGAATCCACCCTGTCCCCATCTGCGCCCAAGGCGGTGGTGAGGAAGCAGGAGGGTGGTGAGGTCTGTGGAAAGGGTTTATAGACGGCAGAGACTACATCTCGATACAGGTGAGGTAACACTGGAATTATGTATACCCCGTTCTCCTTACAGAAGTTCCAAGGTGTGTTGAGAAACTGAGGGGCAGTACCTCATAAAGACAATAGCTTACCTCTCCGTCGGAGCTGCCTAACCCCTGATACAACAGGGCTGTGCCTTCAGAGTCAGGGTTTGCCCCAAAGGCAAGAGGGAAGCAGGGTCTTTATCAGGAGGGACACCAGCAGATCTGGATTTGGAGGAACCGAGGAAAGTCACCCCAGCCCTGATGTGGGAGACAGTTCAAAGGGGTACAACGCTAGGATATGAGAAATCTGGCAGGAGGCTGTACAGTTAGGCACCAGGGATTCACAGGCTGCCGCTGGCCTCCCTGGCCTATGGGTGCTAACTCAGGAGCCCGTGGGAGCCAGGAGGCTACCGTAAATGAGGACCACGGGTCCAGGGAGAACCAAGGAGCAAGCGACCGCCAGCGTAGTTGGGCGCTGGAAACTCCACGCGAGCCAAGTGTTGCCACACGGGACTGGAGGCCTTGTGTTCCAGGTCTTCTGATCTTTAAAAGAAGCTGTAAATGCAAGTGGTATTTTAATATTTCCAATATTAACTCAAGTTTTGTATACTTTGTTCAGGCCAACAACACATCTGCCAACTGGAAATGGCACGCCGGCCACCATTTTGCTGGTTCTGGCCTCTGAAGCAGGGCCGGGCCACTGTGACTACAGCAGAGGGTGAGGTGATTTCACAGCATGGAGAAGCGATAGGGCTTGGTGACTGCATGCGGGGAGTGCTGAGGGAGTCTAGCCTTTCCAGAAGGTTTCTGCTTTAATACCCTGGTGACTGGCAGAGCTGCCGCCAAAAAAAAAAAAAAAAAAGGCAAATTTTGGCCGATGATGGAATGGGTATGGGGTGGATGATGAGAACTAAAATCAGTCAGTCTTGGACTCACTGTGGGTTGTTTGCCTACAAGGCTGGATGGATAAACCCACCGGACTGTAGGTAACTAGCTGGAGACACCAATCTGGGGCTTACTTTGTATTGACGATAGCTGAGGCTTGGGGAATGTGCTTCACCCAATGACTCTGTATAGAGCAGAACAGAGATCAGGACAGAGCCCTGGGTAACCCCAGGAGGTAGTGGAGAGGCAATGGAGGAAGAGGGAAAACCAGGGGGACACAGCAACTAGGGAAGAAAGAAAAAGTATCCGAAAGGAAGGAAAGGTCCATATCCAATGCCATAGGGAAGTCTAGAGAGAATGTGCAGGATCACTGTTCAGGAATTGTGGGGTCTTCTCCTACTTTGGGGGAGCCTCTGGCCAGCTCACAGGGAGCTGAGAAGAAAGCAGAGAACAGGGGAAATGTTAACTCATTTGAGAAGCCCGGGAGACACAGTGGTCGCTAGAGAGGAGGTGGGGGTGCAGGGACAAGGAAGATGATGGCATTCTAAAAATACTGTTAAATTAGGAAAGAGTTCATGGAGAGACCCTAGGCAGTGCCAAAGGGAGGCCTTCTCTCTAATCTTCCCTGAGTTCCCTGCCCCAACTTGATTTTTTCTATTATTCCACCCTATTCATTTTATCATAGCATAATTATGTTTGCTTTTCATCGGTTTCTTCCCACAAGAATGACCATTCCAAGACAGCAAGAATCTGCTGTATTTATCACACTTCAGAGCCAAGCAAAGCGCCTGGACACAGTAGGTGCTTAAGAAGATGTCTTGGATGAGGGGGTAAATTTGGAAAAGTTTGTAGGAGGGAAATGGGGTAAGACATGGAGAGACTTCAATTCAGTGGCCCCTACTTTCCAGGTAGAGTGGGCCATGAAGTCACCTTTTGAACCGGAAGGAGGGAGGGAAAGAGGTCTCTTGTGTTGAGGAAGAGTTGCAATGGGAACACTAGTTTGCAACCTGGAAGGCAGGAACTTGTGATTGAGATATTGAGACACTGATGTTTCTGATTTCAGAAGATGAGCATCTCTGAGCGAGGGCAAGACTTCAATAAAGTTGGAGGACCCAGTTGCTAGAGCGGGTGGAGGTCACTGGATTTGAGATGGTCAAGTAAGTGGGAACAGAGAGCATCCCCTACATGGACTTTGGGACAGGAGGGGGAGCAAAAGCCCAGGAGCCAAAGTCCCTGAAGGAGATGACTAGCTGGCAGAGGATGGTCACACAGAGGGGTGGGTGGGACATGGCTCATTTCCAACTCTAATACCTCAATCTCTCACTGGTATTTATTCCACCCATGGGTGGAACTTAAAAACTAATGTCCTTTGGAGACTGAGTCATTTTTGTTCTTTTAAAATTACACTAATATGTGAAGTTCATAGGAGGCAGAAATTTTCCGCATAGATTCATTTTTGTTTAGAATAAAGGATGGATGACATCTTTATGACCTTCAGTAACTGCCCAACACTGTACAATATTTTCAAACATCATTTTAATGTAGAATCAAAATTTGGGGGTTGAAAGGATCCTTAGATTATTTAGGCTAACACCTTCATTTGCATAGCTGAAGATAATTTTTGCTGAAATACTGCAAACAGCAATAATTACTGATTTAGATATGCAGAGAGCATTGAAAGTATCTTCAATTTTTGAAGTTTGCTTTTAGATATACAAATTAGCAATGCTTACATTTCTTCCAGTTATCTCTGTTCAACTTTGAATATAAAATCTCCAAAGTACAAAATTATCACGTAAATTGTTCCTGAACAGTTCAGAGAAGTAAACTGCTTCCTGGCTTGAAAGAGCCAGTCAAACCTTCAAACACCTTTTTATGTTGGATGCTAAATATAAGAACATTCTCTGCAAAGTGGTCAAAGCAAGACACAAAAGCATTTGAGATTTCTCAAGAGAGACACATATGATTATTTTTCGTTCATTAAAACATTAAAACCTTCAATAGCATCTCCCATAACACCTGAAGGTGGAGTGCTGTCTTATGTAATAGAAGCCTTCCATCCCCGCTCAGTTCGCAGGCAAATTAAACACCTAATTCCGCCCAGAATTTCTGAGTACACTTTCACCTTACCTGTAGCCACTAATCAGTGTCTCGATTCCCATTTCTACAGATGATGAAAATAGCAAAAATCTGCTCCATAGGGTTGAACTGATTGCCAGAGGCCAATTTAAAGGCTCTCCCCCAAACCACTGGTCACCCCAACCCTGATCGGGCAGCGGTAACCACAGAGTCGGTTTGTCTTTCCCCAACAGGCAGCGCACACGCAAAGTACAGGGTAGAGGACGCTTGCCTAGTACCTGGGTACCTCTGGTTCAGGGTCACCGGCGCCAGCGAGGATGCGCCGGCACAAACCACGCCGGCCCCGGGACTCCCAGCTGCGGGCACACCTGGACGCCACAGCCGTCGCGGCCCCCTCCTCGCCCGGCCCGGGTCCTCCTCCGGCTCCCCGCGGGCCGGGCACAGAGCCGGGCGCGTACGCAGTCTCGGCCGAGGCAGCCCGAGGGAGGCTGAGAAAGTTCCTCCGCCTCGACGTCGCCGCCCCGGGGCCCCGCTCGCCCCGCACGCCCCGCAGCCTCCGGGCCGGACGCAAGGTCGCGGAGCGGGCGGCGCGCAGAGCCCCGGGACCGTGGCCGGCGCAGGGGGCACGCCCGCCGCGCCCCTCCCGCCCCCGGGCGCCCGCGATCGGCCGCGGGGCGCGCAGCCCGTACTCACCACCCCTCGCTCGGGATCCCCAGGTGGCGGCGGTGGAGAGCGGCCGGAGCCGGAACCGGAGCCGGAGCCGGAGCCGGAGCTGGGTGGCGGCAGGGCGGAGAGTCGGAGGACCGGGAGCGGCGGCGGCGGCGGCGGCGAGGCAGGTCGGGGAAGCGAAGAGGCGGCGGCGCCTGCACTCGCCGCGCAGCCCGAGCAGCCCGGCAGTCCCACAGCGCAGGCTGGGCGGCCGCGGCGGCGGGGGCTTTATCGCTGCCCGCCCCGCCCCCGCCCCTTCCTGCCGCCCCCGCCCCCGGCCCGCCCCGCCCCGCCTTCCCGCCGCCTCCTTTGTGTGCCAGCGGGCCGCAGCGTCCCCGCGCCCGCACGCCGGGACGCCCCCACTCCGGCCGCTGCCTCGCGGCTGCCGCCCCCAAACCCTCCAAGTCGTGGGGTTGCGCCCGGATCGCGGCGGGAGACGCGCCGAGCTCGGGGTGCGGCGCCAGCCCCCGCCGGGCTGCACGTGGGTCGACGGGGTCCGGCCGTGTGTGGGGACAGGGAGGGACCCAAGGGCTCGCGGCGCGTCCCGGGGACGCTGGCAAGTCGTCTTGGCTGCCCCCTGGGGGAGACACGGGGGTGCCCCGGGACCGTACCCACCGGTCTGGGTGATGGGGATAACGGTGCCGGGTCGCGGCCAGGGAGGGGCAGAGCGCCCCTCGAGACGCTTCGCGGGGTGCCCCGGAGCCGACTTCTCCTGGTCGGCTGGTCGCCGTAGCCAGATGGCAGACAAGGGAATCTAGAAATGTGGATTTGTGGCTGCGGTGACAGCGTGAGGTACCCGCAGAGTCCTGGGAATCCAGTCCTTCCCAGTCGGTAACTACAACGGATGGGACCTTGTGCGCAACAGAGGCGCAGCCCCCGGAGGCGGGCGACATATCACCCTCTGGCTCCCAGCTGTATTACCCAGATCTCATACATGCAGTCCTTCTTCGCGTCAACTTGGGTTTGTGGGGACGCAACTTTAATGACATAATTATGTTGCCCTCAGTGCAGAATCCTCACCGGCAGGCCCACGGCCCCAACTGTGAGAAGGAAATGTGGTAAATCTCCTAAGACACAGCGGTGGAATAAGGTTGCATCTACTGATGAGAGCAACTTGGATGATCTACAATTGGTGTGTAGGCGGCCATGCTAGACGGTGTGTGTGTATGTGTGTGTTGGGGTGAAGGAGTCACTTTAAAAAGTGTAAAATCTGGGCCAGCCTGAGGGTATTCACAGCCTCTCTTATAGGGAAACATGCTATGGGAGGGTTGGCTCCCAGTCCACAAAAAGAAAACCTGTTTCATTATTTTACAGTCATGCCTAATATTCATATTTAATTACAGGGCAGGATATAAATGCTTTTTCCTTGTTCTCTCTGCCTAACATGCTCTCCCCTGGCCCCCGTGATCGACTTAATGACTGCCTCCTTATACCTCAGGGCACAACTCAAATGTCACCTTCTCTAGGAAACCTTCCCTGATCACTTGACCTAAAGTCACTTCCAACTTTTTCCAACTTACTACTTTCTTCATAGCACTCATCATCCTTTGAATTTTTTTTTTTTTTTACATTTTTCTTGGCTAGTTCTTTTCCACCCTTCCTCATTAGAAAATATACTTCCTACATTTGTATTTTTGGGGTAAATACCCAGTAGTGCAATTGCTGGATCATATGGTAGCTCTATTTTCAACTTTTTGAAGAACCTCCATACTGTTTTCCAGAGTGGCTGCACCAGCTTGTATATGGTGATTAACATAACGTAATAAAAAAAATAAATAAATAAATAGAAAATATACTCCCAGAAAGCAGGGAAGAGAAAAACCAGTTCACCATGGTTTTCACCTCACCCCATCCCTAGTGCCAGAGCCAACATGACACGTACAGTAGTTGCTCAATAAATATTTGTTGACTGGTAGGTGAACAAGGGCCAACTGACTATTGACATGGTTAAGTATTGCTCCAGGCAACGGGTTAGGGCTTACTCTAGACTGGGAGGCCCAGCTGGACCTGGGAGGAATGAAGTGGAGGGAGAAGCTAAGAGCAGAAAAGCCCAGAGCTGTGTTCGAGCAGCTGGGAGTAGCCTCTTCCAGATGGAAGGGAGTCATTCAGGGAACTAGTGGATGGAGAAATAAATTAGAACTGAGAAGTGTGGGTAGAGCCCGTTTAGGAAAGCCTGCCTGATGCCCTGCATCCATTTCTGGCCAAATCACTTTTTGTAATTGAAAATCTTTATTGAGATAATTGTAGTTTCTCATGCAGTTGCAAGAGCTAACACAGAGAGGTCCCTGGTATACTTTGTCCAGTTTTCCCCAATAGTAACAGTTTACAAAACTATTAGATGATATCCCAATCAGAAGATTGGGATATTGATTGATATATTGATTTATATCTCAAACAGTTTGGTTAATTTTTTGCAAATTAAAATTTAGAGTCAGTTTACTCTAAGTTTTTGAGGGAATGCACAGATACTATTTTAAAGGGTTTCAGTCTCTTGTTTTCATGGAGCCAACATTTTTTAGGGAGAAAACATTTTATTTTCCCAATTAGAGTGTAATTAGGGTGGGTTTCTTCAGCTATAAAAGACAGTCAGAAGTCTTTGGGACTTACCTCTTTCGTTTACATTTTAATGACCGCCAGTCACTTCCCTGTTCTACCCAGTACTGTCAAAGGAACATTTTGAGCAATACTGTCCATGACTTGTCAATTCTGAAATCAGACAGGATGCGGTGTTAACTAATCTGCTAAGCTAAGCCCAACCACGAATGTGCCTTTCTCCCTCCTTGGACATTGGATGGGACTGCCAATGAGTGTCTCCCAAAGGGAAGTGATTCAAGACAAAGACCCATTCTGCCACTAGGATATGTGGGGAATACCAACTATGCTTGCTACAGAATGTGCATGGCTGGTGTTGGCTGGCCCTCCTGATTCCAGCAAGAGGATACAGAAGCAATCTCCTAAGCTTTCCATGACATTCAAGTGACAAGGCACTTTGACACCCATCATTAGAGGTTTGCCCCAAAGCAGCTGTGTTCCTGCTTCAGTTGGTGCCCAGGAACAGCCACTCTTCTCGTATTTGACCCTCTTTGAAGTGTATTTCTCATGGATGTATACTTTCAACGTGCATTTTCCTCCTGTCTCTACCTTGGTCTTATTTGAGAAATCCAAATTATTATCCTACCTGCCTCTTCCTTTGCGATTCACATTCACAGCAGAATTTCATTTTGTCCTTCAATTGTGTGGCTTGCCTTAATTCTCAGATAGAGCTTCAAATTGTTTATTCCTTAAAAAATTTTCAGAAGTGACCTGGAATTTAGCCAGCTCCAGCCAGTCTCTGAGTTTGGCTTTGTGTCCATAAGCCGCAGTTGAGAGAAACGCACGAAATGCCCAAACAGAATAAAACAAATGATCTATTTAGTCTCGTTTCCTCTCTTGGAAGAGATCCAGTGTTGAGTGCTTTGGAAGAAGATGAAAATCTCCCTGCCCCACCCCCACTCTCCCCCATACACCCAAACAGTATGACCTTGTATTTAAGGAAAAACTATCCCTACTTCCCAATGGGTGATGGTGTTTTGTCTGGAAGAGTGACCAATGTCATGATAGTAAGATAATAGTCACTCCTCTGCTATCTAAACCCTATTTAAAACACATTACACCACAAGACTACTTGTTACACAACATTATGGATGCAAATGTTGTTATGTAAGATTGTTTCAACCGGGGGAAAGGAGACTGCTTATAACAATTCGCTTGGACAATTAGTTTCTGGGACTGTTGCATCGGTGTAATTTTTTTTTTTTTTTAAAGCTTACAAAAGGCATTTGTCTTTTTTATTTCCCTTACTGGTTGGCTTTTAAATAAGTCCAATTTTCTTTTTCTATAATTTCTGAAACAGATGAAGGCAGAGCATCAATTCACACTTTCCCATTGTCACTACTTTTCACAAGAGCTTCAGAGAAAAGATATCAGTAAGTGCCGTGCTGAGTATTCTTTTGTCCTTGTATTTGGCCAAATGCGATGGGAAGCCCTCAGTGCTGAGGATCACTGTGATACTGCCCCATTCAATCCCCGACCTAGGTCTTCTTCCTTTCACCGCCACACAATGGATGCTGCCTCCTGACCCCTGCCCCTCTCCCCGATCTACCTTCTTTCCTGCGTCACTGGGTCTTCTGCCTGTCTCATGCCCTTCATCCTTCCCCTTCTTGTCTCGCAAAGGTTACCCATAACTTCCAATGATTGCAACCCCAGCAGGCTTTCACCATTCTTTATCACCCTTGATCTCTTGGCAGCATTTAACTCTCGTGTTTTGCCCATTTTCGAAACTCCTTAGCCTATTCTCTCTCTTCCAGTTGCCTAACCAGCCTTTTTCTTACCCTCATCAAATCCTCCTCCACCTTGCGTGTTGCTGTGTGCGCCGCGGTCCGCTCCCTCTCCTCGGCACACTCTCTCAGGGGCGTGAACGCTGACTGGTCGTGGCCTGTGCAGCATCTATTCCCCCTGTCTTTTGACAGCTGAACCTGGTTTCCTTTGGAAAATCACTTCTGCTTTCTTTCTGGGCCACAGTGTTGGGAATGGAAGACAAGGTGTCCTTCCTTCCTTTAGCGGAGCTGTGGGTATATGACCAAGGCAAGAGGATCCCCTCCCAGGACTTCGAACCCTGAGGAGTAGGGAAAGTAATTGCAGCTGACTCATCTCAGCCCAACGAGATGGTTCGTGAGTTCTACACCTGAGCCCCCAGCACCGTTGTGGTTCCTGCCCCTTGTAAGTAAAGGTCCACAGTGGACTCTTCATTTCTTTGAGCCTTTTCCACTTTTCACCAGATTTGGTTTCTTTTGCTTGCAACCAGGGACCCCTGACAGATGTATCCTAGATGTGTGTAGCTTTGCTTAGTTCTGAGTGCATCCCACACCTGTATCTACAGATGACCTTGACCTGTGTCCCCAGTTCCTACTCGAGTATCTCCAAATGCCTGGTGGACACCTCCACCTAGTGTCCCGTTGTCATCTCTGCCTAATGAGTATAAAGCCAACTTATTCTCTGCACTCCCTCAGTGTTTTGGAGGAATGACTGCCTTCTTGGTCGCTGAAGCCAGAAAGATGAGAATGTGTTCTGACTCCTCCCCTTTCCTTTATTCATCCATATCCAGTCATTCCCTGCATTCTGAGTTTCCCCCCAAATCCCTCTTATTCTCCCATCTCCTCCCTTCTTCT